GTGTACCACAGTATTTCTCTCCAAAAGCTCATACACCATGTAGGAGCCCACCAACACAAAGCTCTCATGAATCAGACACAGCTATCAAGAAGTTCCGATTACCACAGAATGTGCACCATAAAGGCGAGCAATGTTTAGCCCCACCATCTGCCACCGTCCTTATATATCATTTCCCACACTCCCAGCCGAATGACCATCTACGGGCTTGGCAATTAGATGCAACAGCAGAAAAGATGGACCAACCATATGGTTGAACCACCAATAGAAAAGAACGCTGCCAACCATGCTGTGGTAAACATCTTAGCTCCAAGGGTAACTTCAACGCCGTAAGGCTGCAGCGTGTTCTTGACCTTGGAAGCAAAAACCCCATACATCACCGTGACCACAATTGTGGCAGTCGTAACCAGCATCGAGGAAAGCTTAATTTATCAGCATGTCTCTTCGATATTTGTCCAAGTATCACATACCGTGCAAAATATGGCAAGTGGTCTGCTGCCTTTTGAAAAGAAAACTTTGCGACAAGCCAAAACTTCGGATAATGTGGTTACCACAAACCCAGCAATATACAAACAGATCACACTCTGGGAAAACCGTCGGTAGCCGGAAACCAAGCTTAGGTCAATATCTGGAAGTATGTTGCTGAGATTTATGGGTGTGGAATCAAGCACGGCGGATAGATCAAAAGTAAAAGAGGTGCTGGGGTCGGAACAAACCATCTCCGAGCCATCCTTGGCTTTACAGTAGCTCCAGAGGCCAACCAAATAGTATTGAGGCAGATGTGACTTGAATTCGTGTACCTGGGCTTCGACCATGCTACTGGCAGCTGACGTTGCCTCGTGGATTGCTTCATTTGCGCTGGTATGGATGCTAGATGCCACGCCTTCGACGGCATTTCTTCCCCGGCTCTCGATACGCGCAGTATCAATATTGAATGGGTCCCGAATTTGCAAATCACGCAGCTTTGGAAATTCTTTCAGGTCTACCTGCCGATTGCTTAGCATTGATTGGTATGGAAGTTTTTCGGGCGTATCTTACTTTTAGAAAATGTAGACCCTTCGGCGAGGAAGACGACGAACATCCGACAAAGACAAGAGATAGACAGACTAGAACGGCGACGGTAAATGACAATGCTGTGGTTGAAACTAGCGAATCCAATCTGCTCTTGGTGGAAAGCTTCATGGCTTCAGAAGGGAGAAGATAAAGGAGTGTCTCCTGACCGAATAATAGACTTTGGAATCGAGAGAACAATTGAGAACTATGCTGTATCGCAATTCAGGGAAGCATATATATAAACTTTCCAGATATGGTCAACTTTACCCGTGTGGGCAGTGTTCTGCAAAATTTAACTGAGGCCGGCGCAATTTTCCACCTCATTCTATGGGCAGTAGTAGATAAATGTGTCAGGTAAACTACCAGTGAATGGGGATCCATAATACATAGGTGTTGTGAGGGCAGGCAGATAATTGACAGCATTAACCGCCGGAATATGAGGGCATGCAATTACAAGTGATCAGGCTGGCGAGTTAGATCTTCGGCCCACAATTATTCTCCGATAGATTCAATAATTAAGGTGGTATAAATACTACTGCACGGAGTGACCCTCGACATCTAAGTTGTCTTTCTCGTTATTCCATACACCTCCTCATCTGTAAATCACAGGTGACTTGTACTAGCCCCCGTCATGTCATTTTCTAGACAGTCAGAAGTTGAACATTGGGAGCGGAAATTATATGACTATAGAGAAAGTCATTTTGAGCTATCTGCCAGAGTGCACATCTCTCACCTCGTCTTCGAGAGTGGGTTCAGAAGACGGATGGACGGCCGGCAGAATATCCGTCGATTGACACAAATGATGAAGATGCAAGGCTGTCAACGCCTGATGAGAGACAACCACGTGCCGGTGATAGTCCCCAGGGCTCATTGGCAAGTTCGCGTGCGGCCCCGATCTGGCGGTGGAATCATTCCTAGCTTGGACATGGAGCTGGACTATAGGTTGTGCGCATACGACCACGAGAACCTCATAACAGCTGCAAGGAATTTCCTTGGCCACGACAATCAGTGGTGGATCGTAGATGTATATCTAACAGATAATGAGGAAGGTGCGTTTGCTCAGTTTCAGCTCTCAGAGATCCTCGTTGATAAGTTTATAGTGTCGCCAGACGACCACAGAAATGAAGCGGAGTCTGTGCGTCACAAGTTCATCCAATCGCTGAAGGAGCGATATCCAAACGACAATCGCCCACCTGATGGCCTGATCTACGAGCGGATCAATCGATACGAGGGCTACCTTGATACACCCAGGGATCTGCTCGCTGCGAATAACTGGTGGGCTGTACTGGAGGCCCTCGCGGGAAGCAAGAAAGGAAAATATTTGAAGCAATTTTTCAAACACGAGACCTTACACCAAAAGCTAAATTCTTTGCTCGTTATTCCGGGTCTCTGGGGAGGTATGCGGATTGGGCTACTTCATAAACTGACAGCCATGCATTGCGACGAGGTAAGTTTACTCGGAACCACAAAGCCAGATCCATCTCAGCTGATTTGATTTCAAATCTAGCCAGTAGCATGCTACTGGGAATTGATCTTCACCACTTTTTCGAGACTGGTTGGAGGAAGGGAAGAGCTTTTATTGCTGATTGACGGGGTTACGGTCGGGTTGCTTCAATCTCGCGTCCCTAAAATCTCCAGTAAAGATTTGCAATCCTTGCAGGTCGAGTTGGAGGAGGGCCGGCTTTTTCCGAACTTCTCGGAAGAGGCTCGGCAGGACATATGGGCGCGTTTGAAAGCGATCGATTATCCAATTCCAACCTTGAAAACATTTTTCAAAGATCGGCTCTATCTTGAGGTGGCTCAAGGTGTCATGAAGAGACTGTTCGTCCAGCCGCGAAGGGAAAAGATTACCATTGACCAGGGTGTGTATGGGAAGTATGACACTCCGGTCCCTGTCTCGATGGCGCTGAGACAGGAATGGCTGGGATCCGACCTGCTCGAATTTTGGCGCTTCAGCTTCCAGTACGGATTTGAAATGACCGATCACCAACGCCTTAAATGGCCGACAGACGCTGATCCCGAGGATATGCTTGATCGACGAAGCTCCGGATCGTCTTTCCCCCCCAAACAGGAAATATGGCGCCATTTCTTTACACTGGTGAGAGCGAGAGGTTTCCAAGCACCCGTCACAGACGACACGTCATTTGCAACAGGGGAGCTACCTTCCCATAGAGTGTGCGAATACCCAGAAGACTTAGCCGAAGAAATAGAAGTTGCGAAAAGATGTGGAAAGCCGTACTCGAATACTGTCAAGGCAGATCGATTCGCTTTGTCCACAGAGTCGCTGCGGCAAAGTCAAGCCTCAGTTCGAGTGACGGCGGGGTTTCTCCGACAGTCTGTTTTTAAGGCGTTCTTTGGCTATCTGTGGAATAGCAATAGTCAAATGGCCGGTGGTGATCCTCCTGACGACAACATTGATGTTCAACATCGCGACGAAAGGCCGACTACAGCAAATGTTGGTCGGGCCATGATGGCCACAGACGGCATGGACGTGGATCCTGGGAGTCTCAGGCCAAACCCTCTCGTCACCTCAGCAGCCCGGACTCATAATGCCGCGGCTACTGCTTCACCAGCTGACATACTGCCGCCGTTCGGTGTCATGACCATCACAGTTGGAGGAACTACACGAATATTAGACCTACCAATCCACGACTCATTTATGAAAGTCTTTTCGACTTGCCTATTCAACAACAACTTCAACGTCCAGACCGATGAGAGGGAAAAGCGATCCATTTCCCCATATACGTGCTACTCTCATTATCTGCACAATCCGTCGTCGGTGCTACACGCCGAATTTAAACAAAATGAGCATACTACCTACGCCATTGCACCCTCGCAAATCGGCGCGGGGAGCAAGAGAAGGATGCTTGATGAAGACGAGCAGATGGCTAGAGCGGAAATATGGTTACAGGAGCAAATTGCGTTGCTTTCGGATCGGCGTAACGGCGACGAAGACCTTTGACGGGTACCAAATTCGGGTTTCACCAAGGCCTTGAAGAGGCTCACGGTATAGAGGAGGCCTGGTATGGTAGGGATGGTGTGAGTGAGGCGTGTAAAAATTCATATGTTAATGATCTATCATATCTCGGAGATGTTCATCTAAACGGCAACGTTTTAGCTTGAAGCGAGCAAGCCTATGGTATCTATCTTATATAGCGTTTAGGGATGGATAGTAATGCACTTTTTGATTTAGTGAGGTGAGTTGTGGTTCGATCAAAGATGTTTATTAGACATGCGCTTGGTGTCCGGCACTGATCGTTATTTATATTTTATAGCCTGACAATTAGATAGTAAGTTCCATAGCCCGAGGAATCTCGACGACTTCAACTATTCTTTGATTTATATACTCTCCTTCCATTCAATACATAGCGTCATAATTCTCTGGCCGCCATCAACGGTTCTACACCACATGGCGTCGCTTCAAGTTTAACAAGTGAGGTGCTGCCTCTTTTATCTCAATGGACTATGGTACACTCCGCTGACTCAAATACCTTTGCTGACCCAGAGGCGCAATGACAAAGAGCATCCTCACGATGGTCCGCCTCCCTAAAGATATAATTAGACAACACAACTTGAATTCCATACCAAAGAGTGGCTTACTTGATGAGGCAGGTATTCAGGTCGAGTTCCCTAGAACCCTTCGGCGAGGGTATTGTGGTGGGGTCATGTGTCTCGCTAGGTGCATTTGGGAAT